CGACAAGAGATACAAATAACTAGGTGAACTCGAACTAGAAGAGACCACGTTCTCTTTCCTTTTCGGGGGCGTGGGCGCGTCCGTCACCGGCGCGCCATGATAGCTCAAGGGCCCTTGTGGGCCGATATGGCGGCGCACAAGGGAGCACACAGCGGCGCAGGAGGAGGATAGGCTGACAGGGGCTCAACAACCACAACGGGCCCTGCGGAATAGAGCAAACACCGCGCCGACTCCTCAATGCATCGTTGCACGGAACATCCCGTGCACCGTGCGGTCATGAGATGACATGACGCGGTCTGAAACATCACGGCCCCACCCCTGCGCAAGGTACGAGCTTCACGGATCCATGGCGAAAGCTCTGCTCTCCTTCTTGGGTGTCCTCATGGTCTCGTGAGTCGGCTCAGGGGGTGGGCGTGGCACTGGGCCCCGAAGCAAAACCGATAGCCCCTAAATGGCTCGCCATGTCCGAAATGCACGCTTCCAGCACGCTGCCGTCCCAAGCTGGATGTCATCTCAGGCGTGCTGGGACCCGCGGCGGACGAGATGCGTCGGAGCTCGACCGAGCTGCATCTCCAGCTCTGCCTCCCGAGACAACGTGCGGAATGCCAGTCCGATCAGCCCGCATTCCGAATGTTGTACGGTATTCCTATGCCGATCAGCACGACAAGGCGCAACGGTGGCTTGCACGCAGTTGCAGCGTCAGTTGTGGCGGGCGCTGGCGGGCAACGCGCTGACCACGGAAGCACCACGCCGCCGACGTGCCTCTTCCCGAGGCCTCTTACAGGATGCTATGCAGGAAAAGGGAGACGTTTACGACAAGGACGACGTCGCCGAGCCTCAAGAGCAGTAGCAGCACGAGACGAAGCGGCGGCCAAAGGCATGAACAGGAGCAGAAGCCGCCCGGAGATGGCGTCCAGGCATTCTGGAGGTGCGGGAGCGGATATAAACACGCCTTGGAGTACGAACACATAATATACTAGAACCATCTCGCGCGCTTCGCGCACGCTCAAGTTCTAGCTAGGCTTGACAAGCTAACTCATGTCATATCATGTTGGTCGCTTCTTGCGTCCAGGGACTCCCTTGGAGGCCCTGCGCAAGCCTCGAAGTCGTATAGAAGGAAACGCGGAAACGCAGAAATCATTAATCTCCTTTTTAGGAGTTCACCGATTTGGGGCCCTCAAAAACTTCCTGGGTTCCTTTTTGGGAGGCGAGGGGGGTCTGAATTGTGGTCTGTTGTGCAAGAGTAGGCCGGGGGCCAAACTTGAAGAACAAACGACAAAGGAATTGTGGGATTTTCATGTTTTTCCAGTTCCTCGATGCTGTTCGGCGCTGTCTTTTGTTTGTGCCTCGCGGGTTTTGTTAGCCGGGCCCCTCAGGGGTGTGGGATCTTCCGGACCCCCTGGGGGTTCTGAAGGCCTCCTGGAGGCCTGGAGAGCCGTCGGAATGGTGTCGCGGGCTGCGCGGGAGCGTGTTGGGCCGTTCTTTACGTTCTGGGGGCTCCTTAGGGTCGTCATGGGCTGTCCTTCGGCGACTTGGGGTCTCCCCCCGGGAAGCCGGGAGGCGCGGTACCGGCCAGATGTCAGGGGATGTGCAGGACCCCCAAATTGGAGTCCCACTTTGGAGAGAAACAAAAACGGGATTCTGGGAATTCCCTTTTTTCCCAAATCCTCGATTTTCGAAGGTTGGAAGCGGGAAAACGTGAGAAGGCGAAAAACATCAGAAAAACCATGGTACATCAACGATTTTACCCTCTTTGGGCTCTCTCGGGACGGCTCTCGCAGCTCTCTTGGGCTGTTTTTGGAGCCTCGTCGGAGTCTTTCTGGTGCCTCTCAAAGATGTCTCCGGAAGCCTCCTGCTCCCGCTCTTGGCCCCATCTTGGGTCTGTTCTGGGATGGTCTGGGGCTGTCCTGGGCGCCTCTTCGGCAGTCTTGGAGCCTTCTGGGCCCGTCTTGGGGCCGTCGTGGGGGTCTCTTGGGTGGTCTTGGGGCGGTCTTGAAAGCCTCGTCGGCGCTCTTGGACCGTTGGAAGCTCGAAAACGCGGGAAGCCAAAAGCATTGAAAAAACACGAATGACATTTACGATTTTGGCCTCTGCTTGGGAGCGTTTTGGACAATCCTTTCGCATTCTGGGGGCTCCTGGGAGGCGTCTCGGGCCCTCCTGGAGCGCTGTGGAGGCCCCCTGGAACGGCGTTCCCGAGATGTCACGGGGAGGTGTGGCACCTGGGGCCGGGGGGGGCTCTATTGGGGTGTCTCTTGGGGCGTCTTCGGGGCCTCTTTTGGTGTTTTTTCCGGTCTCTTAGGAACCTCTTGGGGCTTCTTGGGCGCTTCTTGGAGTCTCTTGGGGTCTCCTGGGGACCTCTTGGGCCAAAACGCTCGAATCTTCGGTTCATCGTCCCCGTCTTGGGCGCCGACTCGGGGCGTTCTTGGGCGGTTTGGGCGCCTCGGGGGCCGTCTTGGCCCCCTCGTGGGCCGTCTTGGAGCCCTCTTAGGAGCATTCTCGACCGGCTTGGGTGCCTCGTGGGCCGTCTTGGACGCAGTCGAGGCCCAGAAGGCGAATACGCCAAAAACATCAGTTTCACTATCGGAGATCAAAGATGTTTGCTTATTTGGCGCTCTATTGGAGTGCCCCCCTTGGGGCGTGTTCGGGGCCTCTTTTTGTGTTTTTGTGGGTCTCTTGGGGACCTCTTGGGGCTTCTTGGGCGCTTCTTGGAGCCTCTTGGGGTCTCCTGGGGGCCTCTTGGGCCAAATGGCTCGCATTTTCAGTTCCTCGTCCCCGTCTTAGGCGCCGACTCGAGGCGTTCTTGGGCGGTTTGGGCGCCTCTGGGGCCGTCTTGGCCCCCTCGTGGGCCGTCTTGGAGCCCTCTTGGGGGCATCCTGGACCGTCTTGGGTGCCTCTTGGGCCGTCTTGGACGCAGTGGAAGCCCCAAAGGCGAACACGCCAAAAAGATCGATCGGAAATCGACGATTTTTGCTTATTTGGCGCTCTATTGGGGTGGCCCTTGGGGCGTGTTCGGGGCCTCTTTTGGTGTTTTTTGTGGGTCTCTTGGGGACCTCTTGGGGCTGCTTGGGCGCTTCTTGGAGCCTCTTGGGGTCTCCTGGCGGCCTCTTGGGCCAAATGGCTCGCATTTTCGGTTCCTCGTTCCAGTCTTGGGCGCCGATTCGGGGCGTTGTTGGGCGGTTTAGGCGTCTCGTGGGCCGTCTTGGCCCCCTCGTGGGCCGTCTTGGAGCCCTCTTGGAGGCATCCTCGGCCGTCTTGGGTGCCTCAGATCTTGGGCCGTCTTGGACGCAGTGGAAGCCCATAAGGCGAACACGCCAAACAAATCAGTTTTGCAATCGGAAATCGACGATGTTTGCATAGTTGGGGCTCTACTGGGGTGCCGCTTGGGGCGTCTTCGGGGCCTCTTTTGGGACACACAAAGACATACTAATACCGTATGTTATCCTTGGAGGCGCGCGTCCGACCCGAATATATTGTATACCCATGTCGTAGTATATCTATATCGTTTCCCGAGCGGTGTGGCCAGAAAGCGCCCGCCAAGACGCATATACTATAAGATTTCTCGGTGCGCGCGTCGCCCCTGGGGGGGCGACGCACATACAGTAGAAGTATGTTCCGGTGACGCCGATCTTTTGGTGTTTTTTCGTCGAGTCTCTTGGGGACCTCTTGGGGATTCTTGGAGCCTCTTGGGGTCTCCTGGGGGTCTCTTGGGCCAAAAGGCGCGAATTTCGGGTTCCTCGTCCCCGTCTTGGGCGCCGCCTTGGGGCGTTCTTGGGCGGTTTGGGCGCCTCGGGGGCCGTCTTGGCCCCCTCGTGGGCCGTCTTGGGGCCCTCTTGGGGGCATCCTCGACCGGCTTGGATGCCTCTTGGGCCGTCTTGGACGCAGTGGAAGCCCAAAAAGCAAGAACGCAAAAATATAAGCTTTCCCATAGGAAATCTACGATGTTTGCATAGTTGGGGCTCTATTGGGATCCCTCTTGGGAGCCTCCTGGGGGTCTCTTGGGGGCCTCTTGGGGCCTCTGGGGGGCCTCTTGGGGCCTCCTGGGGACCTCTTGTGGCCTCCTGGGAGCCTCTGGGGCCGAAAGCTCGGAATTTGAATCTGGTTGTGCACCTCTGGGCCCCCTCCGGGGCTCGTCCTGGGGCTCTCTTGGGCTATCTTGGGGGCCTCACGGGCCGTGCTGGGTGGGACCCTCTTGGGGTCGTCTTGGAGCCCTCTTGGGAGCCTGTGGGGCAGTCTTGGATGCCTCTTGGGCCGTCTTGGACGCAGTGGACGCCGAAAAGGCAAACACGCCAAAAATATCAGTCTTCCCATAGGGAATCGACGATGTTTGTTTATTGGGCGTCTCTTGGGGTGCCTCTTGGGGCGTCTTCGGGGGCCTTCTTGGCGTCATGGGAGTCGTCTTGAAAGGCGTCTGGAGCCATCGCTGTGGGGCCCCCCTGCAGCCTCTTGCGGCCCTGATGGCCCCGGGTCGCCGAAAACCAATAAGAACACACGGATAACTACGCCAAGGCCCCACATTTGTGGTCGTGGCGCCGGCCCCTCGCCCCCGGACCCAGTCCCCCGTTATATGTACACCATATAAGCATGGTGAATACCATTGTGTGAAAGGTCCAGGACAGGACCACCGTCTCGCCGCTGCGAGCTAGGACAATCACGATCCATGCCAGAGACCACAAACCTTACTCGAGACAGGAGCTCGAGGGGCACAATCTGCGTCAACCCTCCCACCCTGGGCATGAGGGACATCTACCGGCAGGTGGATATCTCGTTCGTTGCAGTGACCGAGCGAGGAACTCCTCCCGCTCCACCGCCTCCTCCAGGGTTATGGGGGGAGGCGGAGCTGCCCCTTCCACTCTTTTACCCTCCTCCGCCTCGTCCCCGTGCCCACCGTGGCAGTGCCCTGAAAGATGCCCAAACTATCTGGGAAAACCTCGGATCGGCATGCATTGAGGGAAGACTGGCTATGACGCAACGTCTTCCAAACCAGGTGTTCACTGCTCCGCCTTGTCGATCTCATAGTTCTTCAAGTAAGCGCCCACCTGTCGTGCGCGCTGTGATCGGCATTGTCAGTGCCCTGCTGCCAATGCTCCTCCATCCTCCTGGCCCTCATCATCCCCCCATCGACCTTCTCCTTCTCCTTGTTGTCCGTCCTCCCTTCTCCTCCCTCTCTGCCTGCTCTTGCTCTAGATCCTGCTCTAGGTCCTGCGCATCCTGATCTGCGCTTGATGGTCATCCTCCTCCAAGTCACCCTCATCATCCCCGATTTCTGCCCCTCTTCACCCCGTGCTGGTCCTCCTCATCATCCTGCGCTTGCTCATTCTCCCACTCATCCAATATCCTTCCATCCCCCTATCACGTTTCTGCTCCTGCGCCTTACCCCACTCATGCTCTAGACCCCTCAAGCTTCACGATTCAGGTTCCAATACGGGACCTCACGTCAAATGAAGGTTGTTCTTACAGGTACGTCGGCAACATCGCGCCATGTGAAGCAGCTCGACGCCTGAGAGAACAACACATACCAACACATAACAGTACACAACAACTCGGCAGCTGCGAGAACGGAACATATCCGTAGCTATAACCACATAGCAGATCGGCACCTGCTAGCGGATGTTGCTCTACTTCTCACCCTTCTCGTCCTGCTACTGATGCTGCACTCCTCCCCCTCATCCTCCCTCATTCTGCACTTGTTCATCCTCTTACTCCTCCAGCTCTGCTGCGGTTGCTGCTGCTCCTCATTATCCTGGCCCTCCGACTCGCCTCTGCCTATTTCTTCTCCCCGTGCCTCTCCTCAATCTATACCCCCCTTCCTCAGCCTCCCCATGCGCACCGCACCCTCCTCTCGCTTCGACTGTACTCCTCTCTATTCTCATTAACCTGCTGGATTGAGGCCTCCGTGCGTCGCCAGGGTAAGACAATCTTGGGCAATCCTGATCACTCCTCCGTCCGCGTCCCCGTTCATTCACGCAAACTTACGTGGAACCCTTTTCGTGCTCCCGCTTGCCTGCCTGTCCCCTCCGGCTTCGTGCGCTGCCGTTTCTCTGGCACTTCGCCCCTTCTGCTGAACCCCGATCTGGCTTCCACGGCCCTCGCTTCCCTCTCGCCCCTGGTTGCTGTGGTCGCCCGCCAGGTCCAACGCCGCGCCCAAGTTGCGCGGCGTGGCCAACGTGGCAGTCAGCTCCTCGGCGGGCAACTCGCGCGCAAGTCCGGCAACCTCATCGCTCTCGCGCAGCACGACCTGGCGGGCTCTGTCCGGATCCGCTCCAGATCTCACCAGCCTTCTGGGCGTAGGTGTGGTTTAGCGCGTCGGTAATTCCATCCCCCCTCCCATTCGGGAAAACGTTTTTCACTTTCATGTTGGTAAACACCCCTCCCAACACCGACCGGCAACCGACCAGGAAGAACGGGGGCATACACACCCATCGCCCCTGCCAAAACACATGCCAATTTCACGTGGCAACACAATCGCGATCATGAACGGGCTCCCCGCGATCACTTTCCATTCGTTTTGACGGTGGAGGTGCTGTCACCTCTGTCCGCTGCGCGCTCGCTCACTTTACGCATCACTTTCACTTGTAAGCTCGCTGCGGGCACACGCGCTAGATTTGTAACCAGCTGATGGTGGGAGAGATGGTCTCTCCTGAGAAAGAATAAAAGTTCGGGCTTGAAAAATCAGAAGTTCGGGTTCGAAACCACCAATCACCCAAAGTTCGAAAGAAGTTCAAGACGGCCCCCTGGCACAACGACGACTTTTCCAAAATCATGAACTTTCGAACTGTTTTTTGAACTTTTAGTTCTTGTCGAACTGTGTTTGATTTTTTTTGAATCTTTGAACTTGTTCTAACGGGTTCGAAGATTGTTCCAACTTTTCCTCGCCGCCGAGCGCTAGCTGAACTGTCTCCGAACTTGTTTGTTTCTCGCCGCCGAAATGTTTCCGAACTTGTTTCTCGCCGCCGAACTGTTTCCAAACTTTTTCCGAACTTCAGGAGTCCAGCAACGTTGAACTTGAACATTGTAAAGACATTGGCATCACACGTCTTCCGATCTTATGATATTTTAGCAAAAGGACCGTTCGCGCCGCCTCAGCCTGTTACAACGCTATATACCCATCCTGACCTCCTCTCCGCAAGTCTGCACAAGCTTTTGGCAAGGAAATGCGCTGTCACGCGCGCTGGCACAACCGTGGCCGCCTGGCGCACTCTGCGCGTGTTGCGCACCTGGCGCATCTGGCGCAACAGACGCGCCTGCCACGCTTGGGCTCCTGAGGCACCTGGTGTGCGTGGCGCATCTAGCACGCGTGGCGCACCTGGCGTCCGCATCGTTTCCCAATGGGTGCCCGTCCGATGGCGGCCATTGCTTATGCTGAGACTCTGCTGGCAAAACGTTTGTCGATATCCACTGCAGCGTGCAGTTTCGGGATCCCTTCCCCAGAAACCCGAGGCGCACTGGATATGGATCAAATTCTGGCCCCGAGAGGCTCGATGTGTGTCCATATCTAGTGCGCCTCGGCCTTGTGGCGCCCCTTCCAAAAAAAATCCAGACGCACTGGATATGTCAGAGCGAGAGGGCCGAACGGTCATTCATTGTCCCAAGATGCGTGGCTGAATAAAGAAATCGTGGTGCGAGTTCTGTGTGTTGTGTTGTTAATGTTGTTGTTGTTGCTGTTGTTGTTGTGGTTGTGGTTGTTGTTGTTGTTGAACTCCCACTTCTGAGGAATAATTATTGTTGATCCCCCAATCACCGGTGCGTGCTGTTTTTTCTCCATCAAAGTGTGCCCCATCGACGCTCGCACCCTGTTTTTTGACAGTGGCAATCTTGGTGCTCAAACTGGGCCCCTGGGCCCCCGGATTACAACAACAACAACGGCTCCCGCCGGAGACTTCCTCCAAATTTACTCAGGACCCCCGCTCCCGAGACTTCCTCACAATTTACTCAGGATCGGTGCTCCCGCCTGTGACTTCCTTGCAATTTAGTCAGGACCCCCGCTCCCGTCTAAGACTTCCTCACAATTTATTCAGGAACGGCGCTCCCGCTTGAGATTTCCTCACAATTGAATCAAGACTTTCTCGCAATTTAATCAAAACCCCCGCTCCCGCCAGAGAACCCTTCACATGTTATTCAGGAATTGCGCTCTCGCCTGTGACTTCCATGCAATGTATTCAGAAATCGCGCTTTCGACGCTCAGGAAACTCGCTGCGCCAAGGACGCCGTTACAATTTACTTAGTAATCGGGCTCTCGCCATACTCAGGCATCCCGCTTGACTGTCCCACCCGCCCGACCCACCCGTCAAGGGACGCCCGCCCGTCGTGGGCTCCCGCCCGAAATTTCCTTCAGGAACGGCGCTTTCGCCTAGGACTTCCTCGAACGTTCACGCTCTGACCTTCCTGCTCCTCATTCCTCTCCCTCCTGCCTCCTCTCCTCCCTTCTCTCTCCCTCCTCTCTTCCCTCATCCTTATGCCTCTCTGCCCTATCCCCTCTCCCTCCTCTCCCTCTCATCCCTTCTCCCTCCCCTCTCTTGCCTCCTCCCTGCCTCTTTTGTTGTTCTCTCTCTCTCTCTCTCTCCCTCCCTCCCCTCTTTCCTTGTTTTTTTTTCTCCCTCTATCTCTCTCTCTTTCTCTACCTCTCTTATCTGTCTGTTGTTCATTCTCCCTCTCTCTCTCCCTCTCTCTCCCCCTCTCTCTCTCTGCCTCTAATGAACCGCCCCCCTCTTCGCTCCTTCTCTCCTGGAGCTTCCCCTCTTCTTTCGTCCCTCCCCCTCCCTTCCTCCCACTCTCCCTCGTTCTCCCCCTCCTCTTTTTGCAGGGCCCTCACCAAATCCAGTGGCGGACACATGTACGCCCACGAAGGATTGTCCGCCCGTTCAGGTTTGCCCGCCTGTCTAAGCCCGCCGCCCCCGCAAAGAGAAATAATCCCCCCAAAGGAATTGTGATCGAAGGCAAAAGGGCGGGTATCGAGGGTGTGGGGAACTCGTTTTGAATGACACGCGGGCAAGTAAGAGTGAACAGTCTTAGAATGATTGGTGTTGTTGTAGCTGTTGTTGTTGGTGGTGTTATTATTGTTTGTTTTCGTCGTCCCACCCGCGACCCACCCGCGACACACCCCGCGACCCAACCCGTGACCCACCCTGCGACCCACCCCGCGACCCACCCGCGACCCAACCTGCGACCCACCCGCGACCCACCCCGCGACCCATCCGCGACCCACCCGCGAACCACCCGCGACCCACGCCGCAACCCATCCGCGACCCATCCGCGACCCACCCGCGACCCACCCCGCGACCCACCCGCGACCCACCCCGCGACCCACCCTCAAAGGAGGAAAAAAAACACCTGGACCCGACAATTGAAGTTTACTAAACGGCCCTGGGCGTTTACTAAACAGCCCTGCCATGTTCGATTAATTCCTTGTGTGCGTTTACTAAACGGCTTCGCTGGTCGGTGTGATATTTTCTGCCCCCTACACCCGCGACCCACCCGTGACCCAACAACGACCCACCCGCGACCTACCCACATTGGTTTAACGAACAAATCGGCGCCTGCGGCGGGCTCGTTGTATAATTTGTGAAACTTTAGCGCCTGCGGCGGGCTTCTCCAGAGTCTCGCAAAGTGCCGACGTCCCCACCACCCCCTCGCTCTTATCCGCATCTGTGGGGTGCTACTTACAAGGTGGGAGGCGGGTGGGGGTGAGCGAAACATCTTGCGACGTTCCGTTGGGGAATTTGGCTTCTCGCCCACCCCCTCCCGTGGGCTCGGAACCAGGTGCTCGCGAGATGTCAGACGGTCCTACTGGGCAAAAAGTATGCTAAAGGAGTTCCCCACATAATGATTTTCCTGGGTTAGCGGGATGAGGGAGGCGCCAAAAGCCTTAGTGGGCAGCGTGGAGGAGCCTCCGTGGGCGCGGTCGGCGCCTCTGCAGAGTGTACAGTCTCAGTGGGCAACGTGACGGAGCCTCTGGGCGCGCCTGGGGTTTCTGCGGGCAGCGTCTGGGGCTTCAGTGGGCAGCGTGGCCGGACCTGTGTGGGCGCGATGGGGGCCTCTTTGGGCAGCGTCTGGGGCTGCAGTTGGCAGCGTGGCCTCCGTGGGCGCGGTCGGCGCCTCTTTGGGCAGCGTCCAGGGCCTCCTTCGGCGGGGCCACTCTGGAGAGGTGGGAAGGGCACGAGGTTCCGATGCCGTCCTCGCTCTGGCGGGGCCTCCCTGGAGGGGTGGGAGGGGCACGAAACCGTATAAATCCGCTGGCCCCCTTGTGGGGCCACCAGGCTGTAGGCGCGGGTTCGCAGTTTCCAGTGCCAGTTGTAGCTTGTAGTTTCCAGTGTTACAGTTCTGCTTCTTGCTGGTTACTGCAACTAGTTGACTGACGGCGCGAGGGGGGGGAGGCCCAAACGGGACTTTCAGCACCCCCTGGGCGCGTTGTCTGAATTGCTGGGGGGGCTCGAAATCGACACCCCTCACGCAGATCCGCGGGGTCAGGGTCCAAAAACACAGGGGATTTGCCACATTTCTGAAATTCGGTGCCACCCCTCACGCAGATCCGCGGGGTCAGGGTCCAAAAACACATGGGATTTGCCACATTTCTGAAATTCGGTGCCACCCCTCACGCAGATCCGCGGGGTCAGGGTCCAAAAACACATGGGATTTGCCACATTTCTGAAATTCGGTGCCACCCCTCACGCAGATCCGCGGGGTCAGGGTCCAAAAACACATGGGATTTGCCACATTTCTGAAATTCGGTGCCACCCCTCACGCAGATCCGCGGGGTCAGGGTCCAAAAACACAGGGATTTGCCACATTTCTGAAATTCGGTGCCACCCCTCACGCAGATCCGCGGGGTCAGGGTCCAAAAACACAGGGATTTGCCACATTTCTGAAATTCGGTGCCACCCCTCACGCAGATCCGCGGGGTCAGGGTCCAAAAACACAGGGGATTTGCCACATTTCTGAAATTCGGTGCCACCCCTCACGCAGATCCGCGGGGTCAGGGTCCAAAAACACAGGGGATTTGCCACATTTCTGAAATTCGGTGCCACCCCTCACGCACATCCATCGCAAGGCGTGGTAACCCAAACTGCGAGTACTCCCTCGGCCCTTTAATCCCAAGGTGTGGTAACCAAGCTCGTAAACCATACACGTCTTACCAATCGCCCTGTGTGGTAACCCCTCTTGTGATCAGTTGGTTTTGCCGATTGCGAATCGGCCTCGCATGAAGTTCCGATACTGCTGCACGACAGCGCCAAAGCCTCATGACTTAGCTCTTCCATGGCCCATTCTCCGAGAGAGGGGGCCGGCGGCAGGGGGCGAAGCCCTTACGGATAATGTGTCATTCCGATACCGTCCTCGCTCTGGCGGAGCCTCCCTGGAGAGGTGGGAGGGGCACGAAACCGTGTAAACACTGTTGCATTCGTCGCTCCGGCGGGGCTCCCTGGAGGGGTGGGACGGGCACGAAACTGTGTAAATAATGTTGACCATCCTCGCTCTGGCGGGGCCTCCCTGGAGGGGTGGGAGGGGCGCGAAATCGCTTACATGTACGGTTATGATGCTGTCCTCGCTCTGGCGGAGCCTCCTTGGAGGGGTGGGAAGGCCACGAAACCGTGAAAGTAATGTGTGTTCCCGATTCCGATGCCGTCCTGGCTCTGGCGAGGCCTCCCTGGAGGGGTGGGAGGGGCACGAAACCTTATAAATAATGTGTCATTCCGATACCGTCCTCGCTCTGGCGGGGCCTCCCTGGAGAGGTGGGAGGGGCACGAAACCGTGTAATTAAACACTGTTGCCTTCGTCGCTCCGGCGGGGCTCCCTGGAGGGGTGGGAGGGGCACGACACCGTGTGACAATGTGTTATTCCCCACATGTTTCGTGGGGTTTTGGTTTTCTTCCCTTCCGCGTCTCACCCGCGTCTCCTCCTCCTCCTCCTCCCCCTCCGTCTCCTTCTCTTCCCAGCTGCGCTGCACCCGCGGCTGGAAGAGAAGGAAAGGGGGAGCACGGCAGGCGCGGCACTTTCTCGACACCAGGAGGGTGCGCAGGGGGTGCGGTCTCTGTGCGTTGCAGGCGCGCAGGGCACGGCAGGCGCTGGGAATTCTCGACACCAGGAGGGTGCGCAGAGGGTGCGGTCTCTATGCGTTGCAGGCGCGCACGGCACGGCAGGCGTGGGAATTCTCGACACCAGAGGGGGTGCACATGGGGTGCGGTCTCTATGCGTTGCAGGCGCGCAGGGCACGGCAGGCGCGGCATTTCCTCGACACCAGGAGGGTGCGCAGGGGGTGCGGTCTCTATGCGTTGCAGGCGCGCAGGGCACGGCAGGCGTGGGAATTCTCGACGCCAGAGGGGGTGCACATGGGGTGCGGTCTCTACGCGCTGCAGGCGCGCAGGGCGCGGCAGGCGCGGCATTTTCTCGACACCAGGAGGGTGCGCAGGGGGTGCGGTCTCTATGCGCTGCAGGCGCGCAGGGCGCGGCAGGCGTGGCACTGTCTCGACGCCAGGAGGGTGCGCAGGGGGTGCGGTCTCTATGCGTTGCAGGTGCGCAGGGCATGGCAAGCGTGGGAATTCTCGACACCAGAGGGGGTGCACAGGGGGTGCGGTCTCTATGCGCTGCAGGCGCGCAGGGCACGGCAGGCGCGGCATTTTCTCGACACCAGGAGGGTGCGCAGGGGGTGCGGTCTGTATGCGTTGCAGGCGCGCAGGGCGCGGCAGGCGTGGCACTGTCTCGACGCCAGGAGGGTGCGCAGGGGGTGCGGTCTCTATGCGTTGCAGGTGCGCAGGGCGCGGCAGGCGTGGCACTTTCTCGACGCCACAGGGGGTGCACAAGGGGTGCGGTCTCTATGCGCTGCAGGCGCGCAGGGCGCGGCAGGCGTGGGAATTCTCGACACCTGAGGGGGTGAACAGGGGGTGCGGTCTCTATGCGCTGCAGGCGCGCAGGGCACGGCAGGCGCTGCATTTTCTCGACGCCAGGAGGATGCGCAGGGGGTGCGGTCTCTATGCCTTGCAGGCGCGCAGGGCGCGGCAGGCGTGGGAATTCTCGACGCCAGAGGGGGTGCACATCGGGTGCGGTCTCTATGCGCTGCAGGCGCGCAGCGCGCGGCAGGCGCGGCACTTTCTCGACGCCAGGAGGGTGCGCAGGGATGCGGTCTCTATGCGCTGCAGGCGCGCAGGGCGCGGCAGGCGTGGCACTTTCTCGACGCCACAGGAGGTGCACAGAGGGGTGCGGTCTCTATGCGTTGCAGGCGCGCAGGGCGCGGCAAGCGCGGCATTTTCTCGACACCAGGAGGGTGCGCAGGGGGTGCGGTCTCTATGCGAGGGTCGAGGGGCACACTTTGATTGAGAAAACACAGAATGCACCGGTTGGGGGGGATCAACAATAATTATTCTTCAGAAGTGAGAATTCAACAACAACAACAACAACAGCAACAACAACAGCAGCAACAACAACAACAACAACAATCATTTAAGACTGGGGACACTCCGTTCTCACCAGTGCCAGGGTTTTCATAGGAGGCGGGCAATACCCCCACTTTGTGGGGGGGCCGGTTCAAGCTCTACCAAATTTCCAAACGACTCTTCGCCACCACCCACACCCAGCTTCCCGCCCTATGACGTTCGGACACTTCACTTCGTGGCATGCGGACGACCGTGGCTACTATTCAGGGCCCCGCGGCCGACGACGACGGCGTGCGCGCGCGAAGAAAAAACGAATGTGTCCAATATGGTATTATTTGACAGGGATGATGGCCCTGGCATGCGCGCAACCGTTGTTGCAGAAGTTCGAAGCACGTGAAAAAGTTGCTCGCAAGAGCCCGTTTGACAGAAATGTTGAAAAAAATATTGGGTTTCCTCAGAAATCCGCAAGAGCGCGCAAGATGATTTTTTGAAACTTTTTTTTGAAAAACCATTGGGTTTTTCATGTTTTTATGTTAAAATCGCTACGAAAACTAAGGTTTTGGAAGGATTTCATCTTGCGCGCGCGAGTGTGCACTTCGTGTCATTTTTTGCAAAGGATTCTTGAAGTTTGGTTATGTTAGAACAAGACATGTCATTTTATAGTGTTTTTTGACAGGGAAAGCGGGCGTCAACAAAACAACCGGATCTGGATGACATCGTTTTACCTGAGACTTCCTCACGAAAATTATGAAAATGTGGCTGCGGCCTAGGCGCGGGGGGGGGGGCGTGCACCAGGGGGCCCAACAATAACTATTCTTTAGAATTAATAATGTTCAACAACAACAACAACACCAACAACAACACCAACAACAACAACAACAACAACAACAACAACAACAACAGCAACAACAACAACAACAAAACATGTCGCCTGCGCCCGCTACACACCGCTGCGCGGAAGACCGCCTCAAGGGGGCCTGCTTCGAGGGGTGCTCACCAGGTCGTTCCCGAGTGGCTCCTTCCCTGGTGGTCTGGGAGTACTGTCGCCCCCTTGGTTCTAGGAGAGGCGTCGGCGCATGTCGTTAGATAGGCCCTGTTGAGAAGGAGGAGCAGTATTTCCGGATATTGGACAGTGTTGAGACACAGATGCTATGCACGTTCCGTGCACGAGCAAACGGTCCGCACGCGGCCACACCTGGCTTAGTTGGCGCCAATTGCGCCACTCGGTCGAGGCTCGGGCGGTCACGTCCCCGCGGAACCGAATGCCTGCCGCTCTTCGGCGTCAGGCGCTGTACAAGGCGCGTTGCATCGCACGGAAAGCAGCGCCCTGCGGCGTTGCAGGAAGCAGACTGCAACACAGAACGTGCGATCGTCCTCCCGCCCTCCCGCGCCGCGAACGTTGCGCGCGTGGTCGCCGCAAAATTCATGTTCGGCCTGTGCGTGGTCGATTCTACCTCAACTCCCATATCCCGGGGCAGCGGCCAACATGGAAGTACGGGGGGGGCTAACCTGGTCGTCCCCATGTGGTTCCTTCCCTAGCGGGTTGGGGGTACTTTAGCCCCCTTGACGCGAGGGAAGGCATCGACACATGTCGCTAGATCGATGTACTTTCTTATGTAGTTGAGAAGTTGTGGCGTTTTCGCCTTTGCGGCTAGCCAACGCTCCACGACGGCCCAAGAGGCCTCCAAGATCGTCCAAAGACGGCTCAAGAGGCCTCCAAGAGGGCCCCAAAACGGCCCAAGACATGCTCATGAAGGCTCCAAGAGGGGGGCCAATTTGGGGGGGGCGAACGTATATGTCGAGCTATTGGCCCCGAGGGGCCCCAAGGAGGCCTAGAGAGGCCACCAGAGGGGGCGGCCCCCCATGAAGCCCCCAGGAGACCCCAAAGACGCCCCCAAGAGGCCCCCGAACTGCCCCCAAAAGCCCCCGACTGCTCCGAAGAGACCCCAAAGAAGCATCCGTGAGAACTCTGAACCACAACCCAGGCACGGTGGCGGGATAGACCGAAGGCCATTATGTCGAGAATACGTACGTATACACATGTGTATACACGCACGGGCTGAACTGTCCCTTCACAGACGCGCAAGCAAACATGCCTGTTCACTTGACCGCCCGACGAATCATGTCACTGAGACTGTGTTGGAGCAGACGGACGAGGTCATGTGGCTGGCTATCCCAGCAAGAGGCAACAAAAAGACCTGCGCGTTGAAGTGATGCATGGTGTGGGTCCAACAGCGTACGCAGAACAGTTTGAATGCATCCCCCCTTCGTACGTACATGTGCGAGAGCGCGGGCATGCACCTCGTAAGTGCGTGCGAGCCTACGTGCAAATCTGATACGCGTGCTCTCATGGTGCCCACGCGCGCCAGGAGGCCGAGCGCACCGTCCTCGAACACATGCGTCCTCGCAGCGCGCATGAGCAGGCATTTGCAATGCGCATGCAAAATCTTATAGGAACGCGGTCTTGCGAGTGTCATGGTGGCACAGCAATGCGAACACGAAGTGCGCAACGTGCCAGGAGGGAGGCGCCTCAGATGCCCAGGCAGGTTACCAGTGGCCCCAGGCGCACATGGCCCCAGGCGAGCCGAATCGTTCGCAGGAGCCACAAGAGGCACCGCGCAGCATCGATCATTTTTGGGGGGGAGGGAGCGGTGTGTCACCACATTCTGGACGACAGCCTTCGCGCGCGCTCTCTCGCTTGGCGCTGCAATCCAAACAGCAGTTCGACGGGCCTCCTCTGCTGTTGCTACTTGGCACCTTGACAACATGTGATTGTTGTGCGGCTTGCGCCTGGAGGGAAGAAGGGCCCCGCCTGGAAGAAGCCATCTTGGCCCGGCGGCGGCGCCTGGGAGCATCAGAAGTCTCTGCAGCTCAAGGAATGGCTTCAACTGTCCTCGTGGTTGCATCGCGGCGTCATCCATGCATGTATCTGCATGTATACACACCAGAGCCACCCGCGCGCTTCGCGCGCTGAGGCTCTAGTCATAACTGCGCCATGCTTTGCGGCTCTCGTTTTCGCTCGTCTGATCTGCGCCACCGCAAAGTCCGCCGTGTGTGGGCGTGGCAGAGCCTCCACCCGCCTCGCCCCCCTCCCCCTCCTCCTCTCTCGTCGTCGTCGCCTCCTCCTCCTCCTCCTACTCTTCCTCCTCCTACTCCTCCTCCTCCTTTCCTCTTTATCCTTTTTTCATCTTCCTCCTCCTCCCCCTCATCCCCCCAGCACCCCCGCTCCTGCCGTTACAATTCCTACGCATTTGTCCCTTACTCAGTTGCCATTCCGCCTCGTCCTCTTTCGTTTCCTCTTCCTTCTCCCCCTACTCCTCCTGTTCCATGCTCTGCGGATCCTCCCCCCCTCATCCTCCTTATCTTCCTCTTGCAGCTACTCATCTTCCTCCGTCCTCCGACTTCTCCGCCAGGACGGTCCCGAAAAGGCCTGCGGGAACACACGAACGACTGCTCTCAGAAGGAACCTCTTGGATACTGCTGGGGGTTCTGTAGCGGTTTTACTGGCGGGCTCTTGGGGGTTTCTTGGGGCTCCGTTAGGCCTTCCGGGAGGGTGCCGGGTCGAGGTAGGATGTCCGAGTGAGAGCGTCAGGGTTATAGTGCTAGACCCAGGGTATGGTAAGGCTAGGGTATTACGATGAGGGGTAGGGCGAAAGACTCAGGACTTGGGTGTGACGATGGAGTCGTGGGCGAGGGTAATATTTAGAGATATGCGTTCGGTGAGGAATGAGGCGGCAATGGCAAGGTGTTAGGGCAAGGCCAGATGCCAGGTGGACGCCCTTGTGTTGATGGATTCGGGGATTCTTCGGGGGCCTTCAGGCTCTTAGCCTACACGGCATGCGCACGCGTCGTTCGGAGGGGTGTTCTGGGATTACAAACAATGTATCGAAGGGAATATGATGGATCCAGAGACAGGAGGGCCTCTTCCAGCATCTCTGGAACTTCCAGGACGTACTCTGATCCCCTTCCTCCACGCCATGTCGCACCCCCAGACGTGTTGGTCGGTCGGGCCCGGCACTTCGTCGCCATGTATGATCCTGGATCTTGAAACCTGCAACAATTTCATGGATGGAGAGCGGTTCCTGTTCAAACTGTGGCTCTCGCCTTGGCGCCGCGCACAATCGTTTTCAAACTGTGGCTCTCTCATTAGCGCCGCGCACATTCGTCTTACATGCAAATTGTACGAACTCGCATGACCAGATCCAAAGAATGGCGCTTTGGTATAATTAAAGGTTGTCAGGACGCAGCAGCCACACTGATTCGGTGTGTTGAAGTCCCAGGAACACTGTTCTGACAGCGCGTAACAGTCATGTTGATTCGCGGCGTTGAGGTAGCAGAGGCTGCGGGTTGGCACGATCGGGGATTCTCAGACGACTATCTTCTAATGCGCCACTTCCCACTATGAGAACGACTTCTTTCAGGGACCGATGAAGAGGGAACTTGGGGGAGGGTTTATTGCAGCATTGTTGATGCAGCTTGGGTTTACACTGGTCCTTCTCCTCGTCTCTTCCTCCTCCTCCTCCTCCTCCCCTAATCCCCCGTCCCCTCCTCTTCCGAAATCTTCTGCTCCTCCTGATCGTTGTCCTCATCCCTCTTTTCCCTCTCCTTCTTGTTCCCAGCCATCCTGTGGTGTTGGGTACTCGTTTTGAAAAGACAGCGCCCCGCGTCCCTCCACCTCTCTTCTCCTCTCTTCTCCTTCTCCTCCCCCTCCTCCCTCCTCCCATCCGCCTCGTCACCTCACTGCGTTTCACCCACCCAGTACACCGTTTCGTGGCCTCACAGGGAGCTCACCCGAAGGCTCCAGTGGCACATGCCGAAAGCGACAATGCCAGCCAAGACAACGTTTCGTGGCCCCAGAGGGAGCTCCACCGAAGGCTCCAGTGGTACAGGCCGCATGCGTCAACGCCACCCAGGACAACGTTTCGTGGCCCCACAGCGAGCTCCACCGAAGACTCCAATGACACAGGCCGCATGCGTCAACGCCACCAAGGACAGCGCTTCGTGGCCACAAAGGGAGCTCCGCCGAAGGCTCCAGTGGCACAGGCCGCATGCGTCAACGTCACCCAGGACAGCGTTTCGTGGCCCCATAGGGAGCTCCACCGAAGGCTCCAGTGACACAGGCCGCATGCGTCAACGTCACCCAGGACAGCGTTTCCTTGCCCCAGAGGGAGCTCCACCGAAGGCTCCAATGGCACAGGCCGCATGCGTCAACGCCACCCAGCACAGCGCTTCGTGGCCCCATAGATGGCTCCACCGAAGGCTCCAGTCGTACAGGCCACATGCGTCAACGCCACCCAGAACAACGCTTCGTGGCCCCAGAAGGAGGTCCACCAAAGGCTCCAATGGCACAGGCCGCATGCGTCAACGCCACACAGGACAACGTATCGTGGCCCCACCCCATAGGGAGCTCCACCGAAGGCTCCAGTGGCACAGGCCGCATGCGTCAACGCCACCCACGGCAGCGTTTCGTGGCCCCACAGCGAGCTCCACCGAAGACTCCAATGACACAGGCCGCATTCGTCAACGCCACCAAGGACACCGCCCTCAGGGAGCTCCACCGAAGGCTCCAGTGGCACAGGCCGCATGCGTCAACGCCACCCGGGACAGCGTTTCGTTGCCCCCCAGGGAGCTCCACCGAAGGCTCCAATGGCACGGGCAGCATGCGTCAACGCCACCCAGCACAGCGCTTCGTGGCCCCATAGGGAGCTCCACCGAAGGCTCCAGTGGCACAGACCGCATGCGTCAACGCCACCCAGAGCAGCGCTTCGTGGCCCCAGAGGGAGCTCCACCGAAGGCTCCAATGGCACAGGCCGTATGCGTGAACGCCACACAGGACAACGTATCGTGGCCCGATAGGGGGCTCCACCGAAGGCTCCAGTGGCGTCAACGCCAACCACGGCAGCGTTTCGTGGCCCCACAGCGAGCTCCACCGAAGACTCCAGTGGCACAGACCGCATGCGTCAACGCCACCCAGGACAGCGTTTCGTGGCCACATAGCATGCGTCAACGCCACCCAGAACAACGTTTCGTGGCCCCACAGGGAGCTCCACCGAAGGTTCCAGTGGCACAGGTCGCTTGCGTCAACGCCACACAGGACCAGGTTTCGCGGCCCCACAGGGAGCTCCACCGAAACTGGTACCCACAATGCGGTACTCGCGACTGCAAAACGTTGGGTCCTTCGTCAAGCTAATTTTCCGCTCTCTCCTGTTCCCTCTCCTTCGTCGCCGTGTTCTCTCCGCCATCTCCTTGTACCCCGTCCGTCATCCCCTCTCCGCCGTCCTCCCTTCCGCCGCCTCCTCCCCAATCCTCCCCTGTGAAGCCGAAGAGAGGCGGAGAGGGCGGTTGTCCAGGCGGGGTAGGTAGCCGGCCAAGGTCCTCCAAAATGTGTCCCAGGACCACTTCCAGGGTCCAAACGCACCAATTTTCGGAGATTACACAGTCCCCGGGCGCGAAAACGGTCCCCGGATACAGAAAAAGAACAAGAACCTTCCAACCTCGATGGAACCAGCGCGCCTTGCCAAGATCCGCTCGTAGTGATTGCCCAGACCCCTTACAGGGTCCAGCCGCACCAATTATTTTAGCTGCTTCCCGTCGTGGCGACGAGGAGCGTCCCAGAGGGCGACAAGACAAGGCTGCTCCCAGCCGTGAGCGCGCGCTGCAGAGACGCAAAGCTAGGAGGGAAAGTGGAGGGAATGTTCAGGAGAAGCATAGAACAAGGGAGGAGAGGCGATCTCCGAAAGGATCCTGGGGCGAGTTTCGGGTGTCTTTGGGCCTCTCTAGGGCATCTCGGGGACGACCGGAGGCCTCGTGGGGGCGTCTGGGAGGGCTCCGGGAAGGTCATGGGGGCAAGGTGGGAACTTCACCCCTGAAGGGAGTGCCCGACGATCTCTCTTTGCCGTCACTTGGGGTCTCTTGAGGCTCTCTTGTGGCCCTTTTGGGGCTGTGTGGGACCATCTTAAGCGTTTCCTGGGCCGTCTTGGGAAAATTCTGGGGCCTCTTGACCCGTTTTTGGGCATTCTTGGAGGCCTCTCGGTCCGACGTGGAATCGGCGCAGCCCGAAAAGCGAGTATGCAAGAAATGTGCGCTTCCCCAGAAAGGCGTCTCACGTTTTTGGCCGCCTGGTGCGCTCCGGGGGAGGTTGGCGCATCCTGGAGGCTTGTTGGGCGAACTGAGAAAATCTTGGGTCGCGCCGGGGCGCTCTTGGACCATCTTGGCGGTCTCCAGGACTTTCTGGAAGCCATCTGGTGCCGTCTTTGAGCGAGCTGGGGAGACCCCAGGGGACCCCGGCGCAGCCATGGAAGACCGAGGTCAAGCTGGACCCCCGGGATCTGGTATTTTTAGGTCCTTCGGGAACCGTTCGAAAAAGTCCTCCAGCCCTGCCGCGCCTTGCCAGGCAGCGAAAAGCCCAAAGGCAACGCAAAACGGCCTCAAGACGGCCCACGGCGCCCCCAAGACGGCCTAAGAGGCGCCCGGGCCGCCTCAAAAAAAAATTCAGGAGGGCCCCCAAGACGCAAACATCTTCCCTTTCCCATTGGAAAGCGTACATGTTCAGCGTATCCGCTTGCTGTGTCGTATCAGCGTTAATTTGAGGGGGGGGGGGGGCAAACCAAATACTTCGCCTAAGGCGAAACCCATATCCAACTCTGTTGTACCGTAGTAACGATAGCCCCAAAGAGTAGGAGTGAGTCGCGGGAGCGACGGGCCATGTCCAGCGAATGAGTTTCCGGTTTCAACCGCAAATCGTGTGCCTCGCGATGAGGCGCAATCATATCGTGGCGGCCTGCCGCTTGAACACACACGGCCGCGGACAGACGCTCGCTACCTCTCGCTTTTGCCTGACGTCCT